CAAATTCCTATTAATCAAAAACGAAGTTTCTAACAGATTTTAACAATTTGCATTTTTTTATCTTAGTGATATTATCTATACTAGAAATTTTTTTAATCTATTAATATACTATTAATAAATTTGTTTTATTTATTTACAGTAATTGTGAAGCTAAAGAAGTATCGGATGAAGCTAAGAACGATAATTTGGCAAAGTGGTTGTGGAAAGTTAGTGAAAAATGGACAAAGTTACATGCTACTGCACAGTTAAATAATGTTTGATAAATATATGTATAAAATAAAAATTTATAGTAGTTTTAATTTAGTTTGTTTCTTTAAAACAATATTTCCATTTGTAACATATTGCAAATGCTTCATTCGATTTTGAGTTAAATTTTCTGATGTGGTTTCATTGTTCTAAAAGATGACTGATTACGTTTCACAAAAAATATGATATATTGATTCCATATTTGTAAAACCACTCTTTTTTTCCATTAAAACTTATCGAGCAGCCTTAAAATAATCACAAAATATACCTATATCATAAAATATTGCAACAATAAATTTTAGGGAGCGGTGCAATTACGGACACGGTGGAAATACACAAAATTTAAGACGCCGTTTAATTGCGCACCGTTCATTTAGACATAGTTTAGTTGCACACTATTCGGAAGGGGAGAAAGTGCGAAGCCTCTCCCCTTGTCTACACGCTTACGAACACGAACGCGAATCTTTCTGTGTCCACGTGAACAGTACGACACTTTCTGTGTTCCAGTTGTTCTGTTGAACAGTGTAACTTTCGCGGCACTCACCGTGTTAATAGGATAATGTATTTCACACGTGTCGCAATATTGAAAATCTCGATGTATTAGAATATTATACTAGATGATGATATTCTTTATAGTATAATTCTATACATTCACAATTACATATATATATATAAAGCATTTATAATTTCTTTCCTAATACTTAATGTGGCTTTTTTCTACAAAAATACTTAAAGTAATAAGTTAAAATAATGCTTCGCTTTTTATATTAAAATAATTTATACTTAGTTTTGTAAAAACTGCAACTTAAATTATGATAAGAATAATATTAATTTATCGTTTTCAAAGAATTTCTAGATCACAATGTCGTATTTCTGGATGATTTTTCTGAAAATATAAAAAAAAAAAATAAATTATGTGTGGTATACAAAGTATTTTAATTGATGTAAAATAAATGACGTATATATAAATGTGTGCTTTTACCTTTAGTTTTAATTCTATTCTATCAATTTCTCCACCAAGCATATCTACAATATTTTCGCCGTGTTTCAATAAGAACGCTTCTAGTTCATCAATATTTTGCATTTTTTTTACTTCCTAAATAAAAACCGAAATATATTAAAGTTTATATACATATATGTTTATACATATATATATGTATAATTATATATACACATGTATATTAGTAGTGAAGCTTATATTATACACACATACACGCACAGGGTGTACGAAACATTTTGACACAGTCGAAGTGTAAAGGTAGATTAGAGTAATCTGAATCGAAAGTTCATAATATTTTGCAAAATTTGCAATAATTATTAAGTGATTAATTAATACATGTGATTCAATGAGCGTTGGAAGCGATAATCCAAAGTCTGTAGTCTGTGTACGATTTTCAACTATGAAAATCAGTCGATTGCAAGAAGCTGTGTCACACGTTACTCGCTTGTTTGCTCCACCTCTTGTTGTTGGGAAGTTGCGTAAAATAAGCCAATTTTCTTTACAACTGAAAATCATACACATCTACAGAATCCGGACCATAAGAGGTTCTCACGCGCTTATTGGGTCACACTTATTACCTTATCACTTAATAACTATGGCGAATTTTGCAAAATGATACGTGAATTTTCTGTTTAGATTGATCCCATCTTCACACTTTGGTTGTGTCAAAATTTTTTAGACACTCTGTATATGTATACATATCAACTACCTTGTATATCTACACGCGATAAAAGCAGAAAAACAACATATACCTCTAGCATTGCAATAAGATCATGTTTATCTAAATAAGATCTTGTTAGTTCTCGTCCATCAAAATCTAATTCAGCTTTGTATCTTACTAAATTATTACCCATGTCAATACCTTTCACATCATGAATTGCACGAACCTAAGTTAAACATATATAAGAAGAAAATATATCTTATAATTAATTAGATATTACAGACACAATAATCTTAAGAGCAATTTTTTACCATTATATCTGCTTCTAATTCAGCGTTAATTTTATCGAGATTCTCTTGCGATATACTTCTTCCTACGAGCGCGGCAACATTCGAATAAATTATAAAAGACGCTACTCCACCCAACAGACCGCCAACCAAAAGCGAGCCAATAGCATCAAACATCGGATTTTCTAGATACGATGTCAATCCCATACATCCAGCTGCAACAATAACTCCAAGTACCTAAATAACGTTAATATTAGATATATTCCCTTTTTTTTTTTTTAAACGCGCGTGCGTTAATAAAAAGAAAAACTAACAGCTGCGAAATCCTCCATAAGCACAACATTTACAGACGGATCTTGTCCTTCCAATACAAACTTTTTGAAGCTTTCTTTTTTTTCTTCCGCGCCCTTCAACGTAGATTGCAATGCAATCATTAAAGTTGCTCCTTCTGACAATAAAGATCCACCCAGAACAAAATATGCCCAAAAGAAAGAATCTAACGGCGCGGGAAAAAGAATACCATGAATTCCATGATAGACCGAAAGACCCGTACCGACACAAAAAATTCCCACTCCCGATATTAATGAAGAAACGTACTTCATATTCGTGTAACCGTACGGATGATCGGGATCTGGATTCTGCAAAATGTTTTATTTGAATAAAAATAAGAACTACACTGCTTATAAATATATCTCACAAACTTTTCTTATATAAAATTTTATTTACCTGCACGGATTTATGAATACCATATGCTAAAATTAGTTGATTAAACGTATCTGCTGCCGAGTGTATACATTCAGAAAATATACTATGCGAGCCAGTATATATCCAAGCAATTAATTTGCACAAGAAATTACTAGCATTTCTGAAAACAAAAAAGTTCATCTAAACAATTCTTAAAATTGCATGAAAATCATATTATAAGTACATACATCACTATTGCAGTTAATACTACTTTTCCAGATCTTCCAAAAAGACCTTCCTTCTGAGTTATCTCTGCCTTGTTGCCAATTTCTCGCCTATAATCTCTTAATCTCCGCTTTACGGTAAAAACATCTGCGGTAAAAAACTTAAATATAAATTTCTGTATTAATTATTTTATCAAAAGGTTGTTCCTATTATATTATCAGAACACATATATATGATCCTGAGAGGATAAACAAAAAAATATTCTCTAACAGAAGATATTCTTCGCTTAGACAGAAAATTCTTTATTATAGGAACAGCCGCTTTAAATTAAAAAATTACACAAGGCATGTATTTACTTTGCTGATAAATTTTTCTCTCAACTTCTTTTTTTAAAAGTTCCTTCAATAAGATCTCTCGAGATCCCCATACTTCCAATGCTCTAGTAATAAATAAATCTTTAATATTTGGCTATTTTTTCTAGAAAATGTAGATGTAAAATTTATTAGATTTAAGTGTAAATAATTTTCTCTTACTTAGCTTCGACATCTTTTCTCCAGTAAACTGTTATAGGTGGTTCATATTCATAGGGAGAGCGTCTTTTTGTTTTTGGTAAAGATTCCAAATCAGAAGGCTTTAATAAAAAGTCTGACATAGCTCTTACGGGAGTAATAAAATTACGTTCCAAAGAGGATGTTGATTTATCAACTCTGATTTTCTTCTTTACTATAAATAGCAAACCTTAGTGTCAGGAATATACAATTCAGTACTTAGTATTACCTTTCTTAGACACAGCATCATTTTTTGCAAACTCTACAAACTGCTTTTCAGCAATGTTTGTCACTTTGTCCTTTTCTTTTTCATTAGATTTAATTTCTATATCTAATATTCTTTCTTTCAATTGGCCTAATTTTTCTTCCTTTAGTTCTATTATTCTCTGCTGAACATCTGTTGATTTTTTGTCAGTCTTTGTATCATCAGACAAAAATCTTTTTAAATAGGTCCATCTACAATCTTCATATCTATCTATCCTTTTATTACTACATATATACGTATAAGTGGAAAGTGTATGCACTTTGTACGGTATACCATATTTGGGCATTATTATAATACTAGCATTTTTTATACTTAATCCATGAAATATACACAATTGATACTTATGATATCGACATATATTTTGAATAAAACTTGGAAAGTAATGGGATCGTTGCAACATTGCTTTTTCTTTCTACAGAAATTTCAACACTGTGAAAATAGACATTACTTAACCTGCGCAAATAAAAAATACAATAGTTTAAAAATTCATTAATATAAAAAAAAGTTACTTTAGATATTTAATACATAAAGATAAATAAAACATAATAGCGATGTGTTTTCAAACGGTAATTTAATTAAATCAAGAAAACACTAAAACTATGTCACACAAGGCTTCATATAAAAACTTAATTTATCTTACCTTTTTATTAGACTTATAACTAACTTAAACACATTGTTGGACAGCTGAAATTATTGTTTGATAATATACTACAGCTCAATCACAAACAAATACTGTTCTAAACCAGAAGTTTATTCTTCATTGTCTTATATCTAACAAGCGACAAAAAAAACTTGTACACAAGTGTATGGTATAGAGTGTTTCTGAACGCAGCATTGATTAATGGCCGCGTTCAGTAGAAATTGCCTATACTGTGGTTGTGTCTTGTCCGTGTGCGCTCGTAAAGCCTCTTGCACAACGCGAGGGATAGTGATAGCGATAAGCAATAGACACAGAATTCCAACTCGTCGTCCAAATTTTATTGCTATTGCTTATTCCGTTTTCTGATCTGCATTGATACATGTGTATTTTTGTACGTTTAAATACCGCTGTTTCTACCGTTATTTATAAATATAAACTCTTTAAAACTGGTGTTAGGGTTATTTCTATCGCTATATCGCTATTCCTTCCATTGTGCAAGGAGCTTAAAAGAGTGCAGCAATACTATTACGTTCCAAGATCCTACTTTGGTAACCAAAATCTATAATACACGTGACGTAAAATATAGCATTTTAGTAACCAAGGATTTTGGAACGCAACCCAGAAGCGACTATCTCCTTGAGAAATTCTATAGTTCAGGCCTGTTCTACAATACAGTCGTAACTGTAAGTCGTAAGAAATTGACCAATCACAATCGATTATTCTTCTGTGACTTTTCTATGATTGGTCGATTACTTACGACTTACAGCTTACGATTCTATTGTAGAACAGGCCGGAGTGGGCAGCTTTTTCCTCCGTCCAATTAAAAGCGAATGTGACGTCATTAATTTGCGACTCCCTAAGAGGCTCTCTACGCTGAGCGAGTCGAACTACAAAGCTCCGAAATACGAACAATCTGCACACAATGTGAGAATATTGATCTGCGTATATTTGTTTGTACTTTTCATTTGCAATTATATTTTATTAAACATTTATATTCATTTTAGTAAATTATTGTGTGGTTATTTTTATATATTACCAGTCCTTTTTCTGAAAAATCCTCCAATTCCTCTTGTGACTGAAACTGGCTTTACAATAGTGATTACAAACTCGTCATGTAATAAAACCTTGAAAATCTTTACATATTAAAAATCTATTTTGCGATTGCATACATTATGTAGACATAATTAGATAAGATGTTTCTGTTTTCTAATTGCATCCATTATTTACATATGTACAATTTCAAAGAAACAATTTTGTATCTTCAGAAATGTGACTTGTAAAATTATAGATGTGTATTGGGTTTTAGATCTCAATTTTATATAGTTTTCTATAATATTTAAAAAAGTAATTAATATTTAGATAACACATATAAAAAGTATACGATTAAAAAATTCGTAAATACAATTCAATTCGCCCATTCGTAATATAAACAAATTCTGTTTAGAATACTTAATACTTAATGCTGTTTTTTCAGCAAATTCTGCAGAATAAACATCTGAATGTTACTTACTGTTATATATATATAAAAAAGACAGTCTATATCTAAAAGTATCATCCCATTAAAAGTTATTTATTAATTTTTATCTCTTTTCTAATATGTATGTTAATTTTATGGCATTTGTATAACACAATAAATTAATAAATAATAAACATAAAAAATCAAGCATATTTTTTGAATATGTGAGAAACAAATTGTTTTTAGAAAACTTGTTTACATATAGACATTGACATTATAAGACATCTGTACATTAATTTTGACATTGTTTGCACTACTATATATAAAACACGTTTATCTATAATATTAATCTGCTGTTTCCAATTGTTTCATTATTTGCTGTGTGATCAATTTAGTTGCCTCACTCGCGTTGGGTATAAGAAACTTATCCATATCTGAAATAACCGTATTGTTATATTGTGTTATACCATATTTGAAAGTTATTAGATCGGCATGTCGCTTTCTCGACGTTATCTTAACGATGCTTGTTAAGGGACGTTTCACTATTACATGTGCGGCACCTTTTCTCTCCGGAATTTCTCGTAAAACTATAAGATGACTATCGGTAACTAATAATTGACTAAAACAAAAAAATAAAATCATATAAAAACTTTTATATAAGAAGTATATACGACTTTTTTTTTGTTTTTTTTTTGTTTTTTTTTTTTATACGTCACAAGAATGACTTTCTTGTAACTTACCTATCACAGAGATCGCCGTTAACTTTTACTTCTTGACATTTAAAGGAATGTAATAGCTTAGGATCTTTCATCCATTGCTGTATAGATACTACTTCAATAGGCTCTTCGCTTTCGTTATTAGTCATTGTCATATCTATCGACAAAAACACAAACCAGATTTAACAATCGTTATTTGTATGTTAAGTAATTTTTTAATTTTAAAATTTTTTATGTATTTATGCGACAAAAGAGAATAACCGAGTTAAAAAAATTAATACCTAATTCCTGGTCATCATCTATACTAAATACAGGTGCGGTTTTCCTCTGGCGTTTAATATAGTCTAAATCTTTGCTATCTTTTTTCTCTGTATTGCTAGTAACGTTTGCTTGAGGATTAACGATATAATCGAACAACTTTCCCTTTACTTCTTGACCTTTTAATTTCATTGCTAATCCGATCTTTCCCAGTAAATCTGAATTGTTGTTTTTGACTTTAACTAAATTCTCGTCGTTCGACGTTTCCTCTAACATGTTAGCATTGCACACCAGACAATGTTGCGAATTATGTTCAATCAAGCTTGACACTACTTCATCGCCAAAATATTCATGAATAGCTGAAAAAAAATCATAATTACGTTAAAGATAATACTTGATATCAAATAAAGATAATAATTATAAAGATAATTACTTACTGCTTTATTTATAATTTACTTATAAAACTTATTTATTATATAAATTATTGAATTACTTATTTACTTCACTTATTGTGAAAATATTACAGAGAAATATAAATATAAAGAGAAATAAGCACCTTGGTATCCAGAAGTGACCATGCTTACGTATTGCGTATGTTTTTGTAAAAAGGACGCTACCACCATGTGTGTATACCGATCTTCTTCTTGTCTGCCGCTTCCCAAAAAGCAAAGATGTTCTCCACCAGCTTGAGAACCAACAGCCAATGCTTGACGTTGAGCTTGTAACAATCCTTGTACTGCTGTAGCAAATGCTGCAGGTTCTTGAAGCATCTAACAAATTCTCATATATATACACAAAAATTCTCATATATGTATACATATATACATACAGAGGAGTACACCAATATCGTGCCGCGTCAGGGGAAGCATTTCTCGGAAATTTCTCGTCCGATTTCTTCCGGTCTCTGCCAGCGGCCGGAAGAGAAATTTCCGAGAAATATTTCCCCTGACATGGCACGATATTGGTGCATTCCTCTGTACATATACACACAAAACAATTATACACTTAAGAAAAGTTTTCTTTGTACATATAAGTTTTATAAAAAAACATTTACCAAGTTGCAATCAAGATGAAAAGCTGTTGGTAGATGGCCTGCGTTATATTGTTCAGCAGGTCTGCAATCAACAAGAAAAAATTTAACGGTCTCGACCGTGCTATTAGGTACGGATGGAGCTTCGATAGAATTCTCCACTAATTCCTGCGCTAGTACAGGCAAACACAACGCGTGGGATATTAGCTTTTCTTCGGAAGATTCGCCAAACATTACAGGATATAAATCTTGTTTGAAAGAACTTGGTGTTTTCATCGCATAGTACTGTGCCAAAGAACAAAAATCTGTTACGTCTTCTGCTTCTAAAGCACAAGGCATTGATGCTATAGTATCTATTATACTTTGCTTGTCTTCATCTTTCATATTTAAAATTTGGTCCCTGTAAGATAGATCAATTTATATAAAATAACAATAAATATATCAAAATTAATGATTGTATAAACATTCACCTGGCATTTATAACCATAATAAGAGAAAGAAACAGCAAAAAAAACGGATCAGCTTGCATAAAATATAGATCCCACATTTTGCAAACTGCTGGCAAGGAACAGACACCAGCAAAAAGTGTATTTATCCATACTTTTGTATAGTGATCAGGAGATATTCTTTTTGTATCCAAGAATGAGCAGAGTTCTGGCTCATGGTAAAGCAATAATAATCTTAAAATTGAACTATAAGTTTCATCTCTAAAACAAATTATACATTTCAAAATAAATACATTATAAGACAAGAGAAATATGATAAATAAATAATTTTATATTAGTATAATTTTTTTAAATTATGAAAATTGTCTGTTCAATTATAATAATGTTTATTATATCATGCTGTTTTTACCTTGGAATATAAATCTCTCTTATTGCTTCAAAAAGATTATAAGTTGCATTACGTGGCAATTTTAAAGTTATTAGAGGACCTAATAATTCTAACCATCCATTTTCTCTTTTGTATGTTTTACATTTATTTTTGCAATAAAATGTTATTATGGATTCAAGATCAGAAACTACAGAAACCTTATCTTCATCATCATTTCCAAGTTTTGCTGTAAAAGATTTGACAATAAGTACAAATATCCACATAAATATATCTCCACTTCAATATATATATCTCTAAATTATTTTCTTTTCAAATTTTACCAACTAATTGTTGACAATCTTCACGAATAATATTTTGTTCAGGCAAATCATATACTTCATTAAATTGGTTTATTTGATCACTGTGATCGGTAACATAGAGACAAGCCTGCCAGACATCAGGTCTTAAATTTACAGGAACTGATTGGCCTTTACATATAGCATATATGTCAGATGCAGATGGTGCTTCTGTGTCAAGAAGTGCTGCTTCTAATTCCAATATCCTAAAATAACATACAGAAAGGGTAAAGTTAAGGAAATAAAAAAATAAAATCATATAAAAGCTATATACACATATATTGTATGTACAAATACAAATATATATATATATATGTATATATATAATACAATACTATACAAATATATATACACAATTATATACACACACATACATGCACAAAGAATATATTGTTATGTAGATAATGTATGTGTGTGTATCCGTATATATAAATGTAATAACTTCTGTGTGCGTATATACATATACGATTACAAAAATGTGTGAGTAAAAGTTTATTCGCCTATCCATGATATAAACAAATGTGTTTAGAAAACTTAATACTTGATGCTGTTTTTTTTTTTTCAGTAAATTCTGCAGAATAAGCACCTGAATGTAGTCATTAACCAATAAAACAAAAGTCAGTCTATATCTAAAGTATCATCCCATTAAAAAATTATTTATTAAGTTTTATTGTTTCTATTATGTAATGCTTATTTTATGGCATTAAAGAGATAATTAATAATAACACATTTGTTATCAAATTTTAAAAACAATTTAATAACACCAATTTGTAGTTCTGCTGAAAACAAAAAAAATTTAATATTAAATATACGTAACAAGTATGTGTGTTGTACAAATGTATACATCAGTTTGCACTTAATATTACATCTTGATGTGAATCAATAGCAGTACATGAAAAATTTACATTTTTGTCGATACAATTGCAATAAACTTTTAATCAGCTGAGAGAACTTTGACTTCAAGTTTACCAAGTGTTTTCGTCCTCTTCTAGTGCCATATTAAACGTTGCAGCGAAGAAACTCGAACAAAATGCAAAAAAAAGATATGTTATTTCCAATTGTTTATAAAACAAAAAAACATTCAATCGTTCAGCATCAAAGTACGTGTTACAAGTTTTCATACATTAGTAAGCCTATTTAACTTCAATGAACTACTATGATGTACCATGACAGCTGATAAAACGTGACCGTTAGGGCTATTGCACACAAAATGACACTGCTGCATGTGCATGGGACAAAACTTAAGATCTGTTCTACAATACAGTCGTAAGCTGTAAGTCGTAAGAAATTGACCAATCGCAATCGATTATTCTTCTGTGATTCGTCTGTGATTGATTTAAAATAAGAGCCAATCACACAGTCGATTGTTACTTGGCCGCTCGCTGAGCGGTCGTGCTTCTGGATGCACCCAATGGCCTTTATGTAGAATGGTTTTTAAACAAGGCCTTTAACGTCTGTGTTGCGCGATAGCGCGCTTCTTGAACACAGCCACTGCAGAATGGCGTATGGATTAACTGCTTCCGGTCCACAGGAGTCACAACCGCATCAAATCAAATCCTTTTGTGTTTACATTTCTGTGTTTTGTTAAGATGGTGAAATCTGTGTCTAATTGAAGAAGATATGTCTAAATTAGAACAATCATTAGATTCCATAGAGTCTAAAAACATAAAGAAGAGACCAAGAGTCTCAGATTCTGAAGATGAAGCAATAGGTTTACCTACTAAAAAAGGATCAGATTGTATAAGTCAACAGAAAATGGCTAAAAAGAATGCTGAAGCTGTTACAGAAAAAAATGGTACTGAATATAATTCAAATTCAAAGAAGTATACAATATATTTTTAAAAAATTATAAAGACTGCGGTCAAACTAATGCTACAAATGCTTGAAAGCATTGAATTTTAACTTTTTATTGAATATAGAGCAATGCTTTTTAAGTCATTTATAGCATTATATTAATCGCAGCCAAAATGCATTTAAAACATTTCTTTTCAATTTAGATGGAGAAAATAACCAAGTACAAAATAAATCATTAAAGCAAGAAAATGGGAGTAAAAGTTTTGCGAATGAAGATAATTGTATTACAGATAAAACTATCAAGATTACAAAAGAAGATAATACAGAAAATGAGGTAACACTGGAAACAATTAAAAGTATGATACTTGTATATGAAGAATTTTATATTCAGAGATGATTTTTATGTACGTAATATTTCAAGTATTTTGAAGCTGATTTGAAAAAATAATAACATGGTTTATAATAACATGGTTTTTCCAAAATAAGATAATAAGGTTTCAATATATAGAATATGACTAAATTATCTATTATGTTAATTAAAAAACTATAATATTAATTTTTACTAAACTTTTTACCAAACTAAAGATTAGCTCATCTGAAGAGACCATAAGTACATCTGTATCTAAAGATGAAGTAGAAAAAAAAGATATTGGAGTAACTGTAGAATCAGATAAAACATTAGATGAAGAAGAAAAAATCAATGATGGAACAAAAGAGAAATATATTTCTAAGAATCGTGCTGTAGACACAGAAGTGGTAGAAGGATTGGAGCTTTCAGTAGAATGTGCAAGTGAGAAAGAAGAACTAAATTCTGAAAGTGAAAATGAAAACGATAAAAAACCGAGAGCTAAAACAATCATTGTTAAAGCTGAACCAAATGAGTCAGAATTAGAATGTAGTTCGTCAGAGGAGGAAATTTTTTCTTCTCAAGAAGCCACCAATACATTAAAAAGAGAAAAGAGAAAAAAGAAAGGTTCACAGACAAATTCCGGTAAATTAACATTTAATGAATCTGACGATAGCCAAGATAATAATTCCAGTGAAGATTGTAGTTTAGAAACTAAAAAAACAAATAAATCAGTAACACCAAAAAAGTCAACAAAACGTTCTGTATCCAGAAAAGGACAAAATAAAGATGTACAAAAAAATGTCAGGAAGAAGAGTAACAAACATGTATCCGATGATAAAGATCTAGAAGCGACATTAACAGACGAAAAAGAGATAAAAATTAAAAATAAAACAGAGGAGGAATTATCGAAAAGAGAATCTTCCATGAGTAACTCAGAAAGTAATAATAATTCTGTGAATGAAGATACATCTGCGAAACGTAAAAGGAAACGTAATAGTATTGTAAGTAATGATTTACACAATAAATAAATATTTCATATAGTTAGAATAAAAGTACGTACTACGTTTTATTTTACATTTATATGTTATTTTTTGTTCTCTTTTTATTCAATATATTTACACATTAACATTTTGTCCAAAAGTATATTAAAATATCAACACATTTGTTGGATATAAGTTAATATTTATATTCATATCTCTCTTCCTTTTTTTTCTTCTCTTCGTGGATTAATGTGCCTGTGTATTTTGTTATCTAAACATTTTATTCAAGAAACCCGAGGATAACAGTAAAATACAAAAATTGAAAAAATATTTAAAAGTTGCTGGCATCAGAGTAAAAAGTTACGACGATCTTTGGGCTGATTGCAACACTAATGTTGCAAAAATCAATCGATTAAAGAAATTGTTAGAAGATAATGGCGTTACCGGAAGACCAACATTGGAAAAGTGTAAACTTGTGAGACAAAAGAGAGAAAGAATAAAAGAAGTATCCGAATTAGATACATCTAACATTATATCTGAAGGTCAGGATATTGTAGAAAAAGATCTCTAATATATTTATTTATAAAATATTATATCGTATTATATAAACGTTAATTTTTTGTGTCTTTTTAGGCCGTATTACACGTACACAAAGAAATATTAAAAATAAAAAGACGTCTTCAGATACGGATACATCAACGCAACATCACGAAACGCGTAATATTTTTAAACGAATCCGAACTTTTGTTGACAGCGATTCAGAATAAAGTATGGTATGCTTATATTGAATGTTTTTCTCGAAGATACAGAGAGGATTAAAAGTTGATGTGTTTTTATTTAAAAAATGTCGACATTGCATAAAAGTATAAAATAATCATTTTTATTTACAAGATGATATATTGGGAACATTATTTCATATACAATATCTCAATAGTAAAATCTGTCTGAAACATACAAATTGTCAAAAAAAAAACGATAATTTGCTGTTAATCTGCTGACAATGTTTGCTGAATTTTTATAACATAAATTACGTAAATATTTACGTAATTTATGTTATATTACGTAACTAAATTTTTGTGTTACATCAAAATGCGATTTATATTTTTATGATATTAGACGTTTAACTTTTGATATAAATTTGCTGTAAGTCATTGATTATTATGAAATCTCTTTCTAGGCTTAAAATAAGAATTAGTACAAAATAAGTAACTTTCTAATTGAAAATTATCGAAGTTTTGTTTTTGTTTTTTTTCAAACACTCTGTATAATATATGGATGATGTTCCATTGTAAAACGCTTACAAATTTGTAAAAAAAAATATTAAATGTAATAAAAAAAAGCATTAAAATATTATAAAAATACTGTAAAATAAGTATTTTACTGAAATAAAATTAATAAATGTATTTTTAAATATTAGCAAGCATATCTAAATCTATCAAATCATTTTCTGATGACCGCGATACATTACGAAAAGCGAGTAAGTCACTGTAAACAAATCTCCTATTTTAACACCTATCACTTTATCAATGAAGAAACTTTGCAATACATTCTTTGCTACAAAATAACTTATTTTCCTTTATCGCTATTCTACCGTTCAGTAAATTTTTTTTACAGTTGTAGCAACAAAAACAAACTTCATTTGCGTGAAAATTTAAATTTTTTATAGATACACCCTGTTGATCAGCAGCAATTACTATATTGCAGGCAGCGCATATTTTTGCATATGATTGTTGATAACAAAGAAGACATAACGGACGATCATTCTCGGTAATATATTGTTGTCCAGCTAATGGCTTATCACAGTCCCAGCAACAAAAATGTTTTACATGATAATTGTGTCCTTCTGCTACTGTATATTCTCGTACAAAAATTAACTGCAAACAAATATAAATAAAAACTTCAGTTTCAAAGGGGGCATAATTAGTGAAATTCCTGTAAAAACACAAACTTACTTCGTCACAAGCAAAACATCGGGGAATTTCTAAAAATGCTGCCAAGTCTCTTCCACAATAAAGTTTATTCTTATAATAAAAATATATCAAGTCAACCAACAATTCGCTGCATACCGAACAAACAAAACATCCAGGATGCCAAAATGCATTGTTAGCCTTTTCCGTGATTATAGCCACGTCACCGATACGTATATCTTCACGACAGTTTTCACACTTTTGCACCTTTGTAGCATTAATTGTTAAATTCTCAATATTGTCTTTTAGATATTCTATGTCTTGTGCCGGTGTGATTGGTTGTTTATTGGAATCAATAACGTGAGCAAACACTTGATTTTGCAAATGTTTTGAATGTATAACAGTTGGTTGTACAACCGAGCTTTTTAATTCGGCTTGCAACGGATTGACAGAATTTTGTGAAATCGATACGGGATCAATATTAGAACCTGCAAAGTTATGCTTCAATAAGGAATTTCTATTGCTTTCGATTATTGATTTATTTGATGCTTCCTTATTATTATTTCCAAAATTATTATCTTCCTTAGCTTTGACGCTACATGGATACTGTAATATATCGTTACATTTTGCTTGGTCTAATGGTCGAGATAATTGAGGAGTAACGTGCGTTACCGGATTATCAGTAACATTGTACTTATTGGTAAGCTTTTCTCTTATAAACATCAATCCTTTTTTGTCCAATGTGCTTCCGATAATATTCTTAGCGTGTATCGCGCTAGGTGGAAGAAGCGCTTCTGCCAACATAGAGTCCGCAATGGAACTTGCTTCACTAGTTTCTGAATGCGTGACATACGGCTTGATATCTTTTGATATTTCTTCAGATTCTTGTAAAGTGTTTTTCAAGGTGTTTTTTGAAGGAATTCCCATGCGAGATGTATATTTTCCAGAAGTCTGCATCGTTTGCATGGATACAATTTCTTGTTCGGCTAGGTGCGCAGGAGTTAAAGTGTTGACTACTTTACTATTTATATTTTTTTGATTTACAATATTTGCCGGTTGAGAATTTTCACAAACTTTCTGTTCAAGTGATTCCGTTCTCGCGATATTGCTATTAACAGATGCATTGCTTTGTATATACGGACAATTATATTCTTCATTATGTAACTTATTGTCATATGTGATGTCTGCGGCATCTTGCTTATTTTGACCTTCATATAGTTGTTTTATATTTGCATACGAGGTTTTTATGGCGGAACTATTTGGTGTGCGTAATTGAACATTATCGGAAGGCACATAAGATATATGCTGTAGATTGCAATCTTGCATATCAGTCGCATTGATGGGTGTCATGAGAAAACAATCAAGTGGCTGGATATCAAACATCTAAAAAAATGATAATATTATAACCGTCATAACTGTATCTTGATTTGATCTATTAATAATATATAAACATACCAATAATATATATATACGTATACACAATATACATGTACCAATAATATATGTGCCCTACCTTTATCACTTTGCCTTGTCCCACGTACTTCTTTAAGCTTTCTAAATATTTTTCAAATTGTTTTTGTTCTTGTTCAGTAAGTTTGTCACACACTTTATAGTTAATGTCATGTAAAGGCAATTGTTTCTGCAACAAATGTCTCCTTAAAGCTGCACCAGAAGTTCCTTTAATTGGTAATTTTTCCGTAGGTAAAGCTTTCATGTAATCTATAGCAAGTTCTTTAGTTGTATCCGGTGGTATCCAATCAAACATGGTGTCCTCTTCATTTTCTCCCTTATTATTATTTATTCTCATATCTAAATTTAAAAATAAAATATTTTTTAAAAGAGTTTTAATATGGTATTATTTATCTTAATAGCCAAGTCTATCAGATTTCGTCAAATTCTCGCAGAGATGTAAACTTCATTGAAATCGGTTTTCCAGCGATGAATAATTCAAACAATGAATAATTAAATATGTATGGTTTGCATCAACAATCACAAATTTGCTAAATTTGTTTAATTAATTTTTGTTTAATGATTTTATTTTTCTTACTTTATTGATGTCTTATAGAAAAAACATATTATATTCTTTTGTTAACATTTCTGCATCTATTATATTTTAAACTAACATACATTAATATATTACTAGTAAGTTATAAAAGCTATTGTGTAATGTCTAAATTATGTAAAAAATTTTCATTAAAGTAACAAACTATCAAACAATTAATATTATTAAAAAAACGTCTGTAAAACACACATGCATAATACTTACGTAATGATTTCTGTTTAAATTTTCTATTTGGTCCAAATAAGAAAACAAATTGTGGAAATTCATCGTCATCAACATCATGATCATCTCGGCTACACTTGCAAATTTTACAAATTTTTCTCCAAAAATGCAGATCAAGACCAGAGCAAGCCGACTTACAATTCATGCATGGTGCACCAGCTCCAGCTTCATGTGCCAAACGTGGCTGAGAAAAAAAAAACATAAACTATAATAGAACACAATAACCAATTAAGAATATAAACTTTTAAAATGTTTTTAATTGCTTATATTTTTCGCGACTTATTTTTCTCTCTACTTAAATTTTTTAAGAACATACAGAACAATTTTACAACACAAACCTTTCGCTTACGATTTTCCAGTTCTAACAACCATTTTGGACGATTTAATTCTTCCTCCATTTCTTCATTAATGTTAAAAATATTAATAAGAAAAAATTGCTATTAAGAGAAACTTAGATCTAGTGTACGTCAAATTCAAAATACGTTATTTTCAATGTAAAGACAACGAAAGCTTAACCCGTGACGACCACTTCACGTATGACTGATTCATCCGAGTAACTCATGTGACTCATTATCCCACACAATGGTCTGATTTTCGAGCACAGCTGTGGATGCAACTTCATTCTTTTTTTTCACTCTTTCCAGAGGCGGATTTAGGCGTGGTCTTTATGGGCTGCAAACCCGGGGCCCCGTTCAATCAAAGGGCCCCTTCGCGGGGTCAACAATAAACGGCAAAAACAACCTTTTGTTTTGCACTAAAATTAATTTCAAGTACTGGCATAGGGTAAACAGTGTTAGCCCAAGGCCACTCAATGTTAACGGTCCGCGCCTCTGACTCTTTCAAGTATTTAAACAGGTTTGGTACAGATGTGGCTCGGCTCGCGAACACAAAGTAAGGGCCATTCCACAATGGCTGTTTAATGTGATTTTCAAATATTTATCTTTTTGCATAATTGTTTTCCATATTTTTAGGTTATATCCGTGCTTCGTGTTTACTTTCTCTGCTATAGGCATTGAAACTCACTAAAATATCGTTCCAATTCGAAACCCATATTTGTGCCAATAACAGCACGCTTAACAAGATTGGAACAGTGTTGGTAGCCTGGGAGTTGATTCTGTATCCATGCAATGTAATGAAAATGACAAAAGTGAGCAAATTTACTAGTTGTTGACCATATAAACCGTCTCAATCGGCTACAGAGCATTTTAAGATAAATTCAAAACAAATCTTCAATAAGACTGAATACTTAGTTATAACGAAAGTACATATGTACAAGAATATTTAAGAAAAAGGAATACACACAAACGTGGACGTGCACACAACAAATGCATTTATAAATGTTACGACCGTCACGTAACTCCGAAAAAGATACAAGAACTCTAAAGAAACTCTTTTAATCTCAATCAGAAACGCGTTACAATTTATACAGATTAAAAAGCGTCGCGCGTCCAAATCGCAGCGAAATCCAAACCAAAAATCTGTCAGCGCAAACAACCGTCGTCGGGGACAACTCTCTTGTTTTTTTTTTTTTTCTTTCATATGAAACGGAGCAGCTAGTAATACCAGGCAGCCGTAACGAGTTTTACGTGACGGACGTAACAATATTATCAATTTGTAGCATGTATGGTATATTGTGTAAATAAAAACATATATACAATATAAAAAAATTTAGAAAATAAAACTTTAAATTCAAATTCATTATAAACGCTTTAGACTCCAAAAGCCATATCAAACTCTTCTTCTGAGATCTGCAAGTAAAACATTAAACATAATAAAAATGATAAAAATATATATACAAAACAAAAAAGTATATTTTTAATAAAACAAAACAATTTTATTTACCTTTTTCTTTTTGAATTTCTTGATCAACGCTATATCTTTTGCTAATTCCGCGAGGGATTCCTCATCAATTAGTTTTCTTTTCTTTTTAGCCGAAGCTGAATGTTGTTCCAATTTCTTCTGTTGTTTTCGTTTGTTTCGTTTCTCTTGCCTTTCGTGATGTTTTTTTTTGGATTCTGACCAGGATTCGGTTTGTTTCTGTTTACGCTTGCATTTACCCGGCCAGACACCAGTGTTCTGATACTTAATTAATTTCTTTATTCTGTGTAATTCACGTTGTTTGTTTGCGTAAGGTATTTCATTAACGTCGATCTCAGGACCAACAAAAAATGAGACATCCTTTCCCTTAAGTTCGGGCATTTTTGGCATTTTTAACAATCCGAAACCCATGGCCACCTTTCCTAAATCCATATCCTTCAATCGAAGAATCAAATTACATTCGTGTTTATTATACGCCTGTATGTACGAAACAAACGCGCGATTTGCCTTATCAAACATAAGTCGATCTTGTTGTTGCAACTTTCTCATACACCGCAAGCATTCTTCCACAGTATTATCATCTGGTTTTGTTTCTATTTGTTGCAATTCGACTTTCTGATTTCTTTTAATAAAATCAACATACGCATCCTCCGTCTCCAGAAGAAATAGCAATGAATTTCCTTCATTGCCGATTCTAGCAGTTCTACCACATCTGTGTATAAAAAAAAAAAAATAATTTTATAAAATAATCGTTTGAACTTTATTTCTATTTATATAGAGGGGTATTTTAAAAGTATCCAAAATTTTGCGTATACGCGTAGCGATTCAACTCTTCAAAATCAAGCGAATTTTTTTTGTTTTCATTTTACAGTGCAGACGTATAACAACCTCTCTCTCTCTCGCGCACGATCTAGATGCCTTGTACGCATGCGGTTACATTAAAACTTTTATACCTGTAATCTCTTTTTTAATTTCGTGTCTTATTGTTAAAATATTTTAAGGAAACAAGAGATAAAGTATATACAAAGGAAACTCTCTACTGTGCAATAGAGTAAATCATATCGTTCTGCGTCAGGAGAAGCAGTTCTCCGGGCCGAGAAATTCCTCCTCCGCACGCAATTCTCTTTCGCTCTTTTCCAACGGGCCGAGATCCGATCGATATACTGGCGTGATTAAAAATACCGACGCTCGTGCGTTGTTATCATAATCATGAGCATTGAAAAGAATATGGCGCGCTCTACTGTACTCTCACAAAAAAAAAAGATTAGTATAAAACATCGGTGTTACCTGTGTACAAAATTACTTGCGATGGAAGGAGGATCATACTGCAAAACCCATTGTATCTCAGATATGTCAATTCCACGTGCCATTACATCGGTACATATTAAAACGCCATTTTTGGCCTGTCGAAATTGATCAAATACTTTGAATCTCTGACTTTTCATTTTGCCATGTAGACAAAATACATCAATTGATGGCAACAATCTGCACATATATATATTTATAAATATATGTGTATGTATATACATACGTATATATATATATATATTGAACAACAAAAATAAGATAATTGTAAGATATGAAAAAAAACTTACGCTTGTATTACTTTACTAAAGTAGTCCACACATGCACAAGTAGGTAAAAATATCATATACTTTGTTTGTTGAAGTCCAATTGAACGTATGAAATCTATCATGATTGACAGCTTGTGCTGAGCCTGAACAATTGTGTAACTGTTCTTCAAATTTACTGGTGTTGAAACATTTGATTTTTCCTTTATAACAATTATTGCAGGATTTCTCAGTCCTGCCCTAATTAATTGCTGCAATTCTTTTGTTTGTGTTGCAGAGAACAATCCTGTTCTTCTAAGACGTGGTAAATAGCTTAAAATACTATTTAATGTAACTGAAAAACCCAAGTCTAATAATCTATCTGCTTCATCCAGTACAAGAAATTCCTATGAGAAAAATATAAAATCTAATGATTTAAAATTGTTTATTACACAAACAGTAGATTATTAAGAAATATATAAGTTAATTACCAGAGATTTTACACATAAACTCAAATTTATAGTTTTACAATTAGATAAAATGTCTTCCAATCTCCCAGGAGTAGCAACAATAATGTTCATTCCCTTTGTCAATTTCTTTACATCTTCTTCTGGTGTTGTACCTCCAACAAGTAATACTTCCTTCAATGATGGGATCAACTTTAAAAATTGTCCTAAAACTTCACTAATTTGTGTAGCTAGTTCTCTTGTTGGACTGATTATTATAGCTCCTACTTCCATAGGCTTCCACTTTTCTGGTCGTTTCTGTTTTACAGAATTTCTTAATGTATAAAAATATTTGTAGATATTATATAAGCACATGATAAATATCTACTACACAATGCCATCATAGACTATGTGTATATTTTTAATATGTATTATAATTTAATATATATTATAACTTATAGATTCAAAGTTTGATATAAAAATGGTCATTTTTTAATGTACTTGTACTTTAGAAGAAAAATAGCTGCATGATTTTGTTTATATTGAAACAAAAACTATGTATAGATAAATTCTAATAGAGAAAATAAAATTACTTGTAACATCTCCAATAATGGAATAAGAAAAGCAAGCGTCTTTCCACTGCCTGTAACTGCTTCTACCGCAACATCTTTACCACTCAATAATAATGGTATGCAAGCTTCCTATAAACATAATTAAAAAACTAATAAAAGAAACAGTATTTTATTATTGTTTTGCTGAAACGTGCAAAATATTTTATTTTTGTTAGATTTGAATAAGTTGATTCTTTGTCAGTTTTTCTCATATCAAATTTACTAATTTTAGAGATTAACAAACACACACATACATTTATACTAATTATTTATATATATTACCTGAACTGGTGTCATCTCAAAGAACTCCAATTGTTTTAATGTTTTTAATACAGGATTGCTTAACCATATATTTAACTCTTTCAACTCTTCCCATTTTCGTGTTTTCATAATGTATATGTATATTTTTTATGTTAGTGATTATGTTATTTAAAGATATATATATGAGCACACACGCAGCCAGCAGTCGGCACAATCTGACAGCGAATATCAAAAAAGTTAGCAGAAGAATTGTTGGGTTATGTTCCAAAATCCTACTTTGATTATTAAATTGCTATATTTTACGTCACGTGTACTATAGTTTTCGGTTACCAAGGTAAGATTTTGGAACGTATCTCTGATTGGACGCGAGTGTCGGGAATGGGTGCGTTCAGAAGTGCAACTCAACAGTTGCACAACGGTTGAGAGATAATCACTTCTGATTGGATCATACTTTTGGAACCGCAGCAGATTTTGAAGAACAGTCCTATCATAAGTGATGATCTCTCAACCGTTGGGTTTTTTGAACGTAACCCTTGTTTCTTCTACGGCTGCGTTCCGAGCGCGCACTTATCTATAGTACACGTCACGTATAGTATAGATAAATGCGCTCATATGCGTAACTCGGAACGCAGCCTATATACTATGTAATAGGTGTAACTATACTATAGGTGCTATTGTAAAGAAATGACACAAACTCGCGTCAAAATCACAAGTTTATATATTCTTCTTTTATGCGTGTATTATATTTGTTATTCTTTTTGTTGTATATTGAAGCCAGAGATTTGAAACATTTTCAAGTAAACTGAAGAATGAAAATTAAACTTATCTTTCGAAACAGTAGTGTGTGATTCTCTGTCTTATAGCAGAATCGTGTGTTGTCAGTTTATATTATAATTATATTTAAAAAAAATTAATACTATTACAATTGATCATGATTAATTATCTTAATAATATCATATCACATTCGTAATAAATATCTCACTTGGAGTGATAGAACATAATCACAATTATTTTTATGTTTGAAGTCTAAGAGTATTTTTTTCTCTTTATTCTGACGTAGAAAACTAACCTGTCAAAGTGTGATATTTATTGTTGATTATTACATATGCGTGGAAAAGTTTATACAAGAAGAAGGAAACTACTCGGTTAATTGGTGCCAGAACCATCTGATCACATTGGGCTTTCCTTATGTTCTAAGGCCTTGAAATGTACAAAATTAAACAATGATGTTTAAATGGCATTTATTGCTGTATGTTATCATCAAAGTATGTATTGTTAGAAAGAACAACAAGTTATAACTGATCCATTTGTTTTACTTTTGCTTAATAATATGGGTACGTATGATTAATTATAGTACATTAACATATATAAACTAAGATACTTTGATGATACTAAAATTATTCTTTTCTGTGTTACTAATCCAGTAATGGCAGGAAACGAAAATACATCAGGAGTTGTAGTAGATAATGCGGTATCTACAAAATTGCAATGGTTGCGACAACGCAGAGAAGCGTTGCAAGAAAAACTTGCTCAAAAACATAGTGAATTAAAAACCTTGTGTGTAGAAGAGGCAGAAATAACAGGAGTATTACCTCCAGAAATACCTTTAGAACCTGGAGAAAGTCCGCCAACTTTTCATAGAAAAGTAGGCAGTACAATATTTACACATCCTCAAAAGTTGCTTAACAAGCCTAGGTCAACTGATATTGTAAGATTGCAGTTTTTAAATTTATGATATAAACAATTAAGAAATACATCAGATATAATTGATGTTTTTAAATATATATATATATAGGAGGTATCAGAATTGGAGTTGGAGAGGCAGGTTCAACTTGAGATTGCAGAAAATGCGTTAAGCATTTTTAATGATCCTACGGAAAGTAAAACAAATCGACGCAAAAACAGGCTTACTTATCAGCAAAGTCAGCGAAGAGTGCACGAATTAGAGACCGAGCTGAATTTTATTAGGCAAGGTCGGAATAAAGCATATCGATCAGCACAATTGTCAGTACAAGCAGAAAGTTATAATATACAACCGCAAGTAAACGTAAAACACAGAACAAAAAAACCACGGCCACCGCTTGACAGCACAGGTATTGTAAATTAGATTTTTTTTTGTATATAAATTTATTGAATAGCTTATTTAAATGTGTACTTTGATTCGTAATAACATATCATCAGGAAATGAAACAACTACGCCGAAGTCTACTGGAAGAGATATACTCCATGAGTCTGGTATTAGCCTAAGTCCCTTAGAGACTGATGACAAGACAAACGCATATTCTAGACGCGGATATGATGAGCATTTAAATGTATCGTCAACTGCTTGCAATCGTCATTACAGTAGTACTTTTCCACGAATAAGTCCAATCGAGCAACAAAACATAAAAATTGTTGAGCACGATTACAATGACAACCACAATATTTATATTTTACCGGAGCAGCACCGTGGTCGTACGTATTCCCATGGGAGCGCTGGATCTCGTGGTCAGAGTCACTATCAAGATATCGACAGAACACGTCCTTACGTGCCAAATACCTATACAGAGGACGAGCGTCAAACACGCTATCGACAGTTTCAGCAGTTGCAGAAACAACAGCAAGATCAAATACAGCAAGGTCATCGATTGCATTACACAGGTTCTTTCGAGTATAAACATCTGGATAATGACGTCGTATGGAAAAATAGCCAAGGAGCTTGTGACAGAGAGTTACGCGCTCCTAATTACATATCTGTCAACGATTATCCTGTTTATTATTTAAATAACACGGTATCTCAGCAATCTTTCTCGTCGCAAAGACGAGATCGCGATACGTTGTCATCCGGCAACATAAAACAGACTACCAGCGGTATGGCAATCGATGCAACAGGATATTGGTTGCGTAACAATGATGATATTCATTGGGCAAATGTGGACGAACCTACAATTGACAGACTTGGCAGTTTGGATCGTAGACAGCGAAATACTCAACACAATGGCTGCGTGAATATAGACACGCAGTCGCGTTATCGCACAGTTGTTTCTGCGAATAAGAGTTGTTTATCCGACAGCAACGTTACAGTATTGCCCCAGCAGCATCATTCTGTTCATCTGATGCCGCTTTTTGAACAACAAACATTGAGTAACAACAAGATGCTGCTTCGCACACAATCATTAGGCAGTGTGGAGATGTGGCAATCGAATTATTCTCACAATTTACACGATGATAAGGATACATCAACGGAGTACGCAAATAATAATCGTAAAAACCGTCAGAAAGAGTGGTATGAAACATCATTGGATTATTCAGCGGCGAGCTCGAATCACAATTGTATTGTTACACGTAAAAGTTCTCAATCAAGTCCTCTGCTAGCTCGTGTGAAGACCAATGAGAGCACAAGAGAAAAGAACGGGTCGCCAATAAGTGCGCCAATAAATCATCAAAACAAAGACAGACTTGAGGCACGACAACACCTAATGCAACAGTCTCATCCTCGTTACGATCAATCTATAAATAGTTCTGCAATAAGGTCTAAGGTGCTGGAGATACCAGCTGAAACGAAATCGTCCGTGGACGTCTGTGACGATGTCACCCGACCGTTAAGTTCGCCTCAGAACTGCACGGTTGTGCAACCCGGAAAATATCAGCCATACAAAGAAGTGACGAAACCCTTCGAAATGTCGGACTTCTATAAATATTCAACCAAGTTTCGTAAGAGAAATGAGGCTATCGCACAATCTCAAACAATTGGAAACAATTCTTCGCTTCAAGAAAATCATTTCGCAGAAACAGTTTCTGGAGATTCTAATTCCTATAGTTCAGGACAAAATGACGGTAATGTTACCGTTAATCCTGTACAGAGAAGACTTTATCAACCGGTACAACGTATGACCTGCCAGCCTTATATGTCGTTGAGATAATCGTAACTCATAAAAATTTTTATCACTTTTATACACATATAAATACGCATACAAAATCAAAGATAGGCTGGTCCTGTCGACGAGACAATTTTTGTTTTATTTTTTACTATCATTGATCAATATTAATTCATACATTGATATGACATTGACTGCAGGTGAGAAAACTGTAATATTAACACTTTTACATAATCGTTATTTTCTAACTTAAAGTAATATGCTGCAATTAAACAGTAAACAAAATTGTAGAGACTCAAAATCACAAGACTAATTTGTTTTCGCGAAGAACTTGTAAGAACTTATTAACGTAAATTTGTAATTTCATTCAATCATTAACTTCATACTTCTTACGATTGCCTTGTAAATAACGAATTTACAACTTTACAATTTTTTCATTTTTCTACTATCATTTATTAATACAGATTACAGAGTTGCATATTCTCATCTCTCAACACTATATTGTATCTCTGTTGTGTTCGCAGCTATATGATAATAAGATGTACAAGATAGATGATACATAACAATTCTATATTCTTCTTCTTTATTTTATAATTTTTATTGCAATATATATATATAAATCATTTGTGATAATAAGGAAAGACAAAAAGTGAAAAAATAAACATAAAAATAATATAAATCTTAATCCGACTCTAATGTTGAATTAACTGAAACCTGAAAAGAGTGCCTTGTATCGATTAAAGTTTTTAAGAGATAAAACTTAAAGATAAAACAAAGTAACATTTTAAGAGATTATATGATGTATGTTTACTATACATATAATATATATACAGTATGTGTATGCAAAATATATGTATACGAGTGTTTCTGAAGTTTGTCTCTTCAATTTGTTAATTTCTATGATAATTTGTAATTAGAATTGTGTTCAAATAAATTTTCCTAAGCTTTCTTTAATAATACTGTATTATTATTAATTTAATGTTAATCATTAGATGCATCATTTTCTACATAAATATCATTTATAAATTATTAAATAAAATTAAATAAAAACTTATATAGTTTTTTTTTTTATTATGTGCACTGCGTATTGTAATGGACTTAGGAAATTATTTTAGATATTCTCTGCGGTTATTTTTCTTTTTTTGTGTGTGTATGTGCGAACGTGCGCGCACGCGTGTGTAAATGACGTCGCAAACAATTTAAATGTACATATACGAAGTTTTGTTTAAAAAAATTGAAAAATGATCAATTAGATAGCGTTTTTTCAAGACATTTGTAAAGTACAACAGAAAATTATAATATCAATAATATACGTACTTAACGAAAAAAGATGGAAAACAATTCGAAAGAAAAGATAATTATTGCTGTGGATAAGGATCATCCTTGTCTTAAGGAAAAAAAAGATGTGGAACGAGAAAAGAGCGAAGAGATGAGTTTGTGGTCTTCTGGCAGCGACCCAAGGCACGCACAATTTATAAAAATATATTCAGGTCAAAAGATTTTATTCAATCTTTATCGATATCTTACAGGTTTCAACAGCAAAATCAGACACAGAGATGCTTTGTGATGTATACTGATTTTTATCGCTGTGAGCACATTCTAGGGAAAGATACTCACGCGTGCAAATGGTTCAAAGATGTTTTCACATCTGTATGTCCAAGTTTCTGGGTGCAACAGTGGGACGAACTCAGACTCACAGGCCGTTTAGCTTGGCATAAATACAGAACTCAAGGTACTTTTCCCGGTAGCAAATACGGCGAATAAATTTAAATTTTGAATAAAATCCAAACATTTTTGGTTAATATTGCAAGAAATCACTTAATATATTTTAATCACCGTATGTAAAAAACTTATTTAAAAATATCAGTAACTGTTCCGCAAAGAAAATTTGTAAAAGAATTGTAGCAGGAAAAAGAGGGAAATTTATAGAGTATAATACACATTCGAAGTAAAAAAAAATATATCTTTTATTATATACAGGTACATTGATTTTATATCATAATGTAACTTTTATATCGAAGTATGAAAAAAAAAAAAAAAAAAAAACTGATGTAAGTCGTCCATTGATGATTTGTGTACGTTGCTGATCTGTCTTCTCTTGCAGAACTCAACTCTCTTCTTACAGACAACGAATTGCTCTGTTCTTTTTTTCCCACACTATTAATTGCTTGGAGTTTTTTTGACACTTTTTCTTACAATATTTGTAAAAATTGTACACTCGCAGAAGATGGTCTCTTTATAGACCGAGATAATACCGTTTTTAAACTTTCATAGTAGTATAGCGCAAGTTAAAAAAAAAAAAAAAGTACATAAAATATAAAGTTTTTTTTTTACAAAAACTAAAGCAAGTAAATTTTTTAAGATTGTGCACTAGAGCCTACCGTGGCTGAAGATAACTTACCAATCTTCAGGTGTTGTATCTGCTTTATATAAAAATCGTAATGTCATCTACACATTTCGCCGGTATTTATTTTCTCGAAATAAATTATCCCGGTGCAACATCTGCAAAAGACAAAATCGAAGACATTTACTTGAACAAATAAAAGTTATATCTTTATTTCGCGTATTACGCTACCGCTCTTCCAAAAATTAACTAAAATAGAAAAAAAATAGTAGCGCATCGCAATAAAAATTTATTCTTGTGGTACGTTTAATGTTATGCTTTTTTTTTTTTTATTTTTTTATCTCCGATTGTATGTACGCGGTAAAATGCACACACACAATTGTCAATATTTTAATTCATTAAATTTAAATGCAATCATTACGTATCGATGTATTTAACTTTATGAAAATTAGAACCACCTTACGTATGTTCAGAAAAAGTTGTTTCAGGCTTGATTTCTCGACTGATGAATGTATTCGCAATCTTCATCTCTGCAAACACCCATTATTTCGAATGGACATAGAACTCCATGAGGATTTGTATTTCTGATAAGAAGGGCAAAAGAAACCGCGAAAAAGTTTTAGCATGGCTCACAGATGATCCACCGTTAATTTATGTATGTTTTCGAAGACAGAGAGACCCACCTTGGCATCTTTAAATGCGCCAATATCGATACGTAAGGTGTGATTGCGGACGTTTTCGTTGTGGACGTTGTCTGTGCCGGCAGTGGTGATAAAGAGTCCGTTCCGTCGTTACTCTGTTCGTCGTTTTGATGTAAAGAACAATCTGTCGCTGATATTTCTAACTCTGAAGTTGTGATGTCGTCAGAAATATCTACGCTTTGTGTTTTTTGCAAATGTTCTCTACTTTCTTCAATCGGACTTTCTTCAATACTACTTAAGTTTGTTGCAGAAGATAACATATTATTTTCTTTAAAAAATGAGATTTGTTCATTGCCCCGAGATCCTGACACATTTGTCGAAGTTTCTTTTCTCTTTTCCGACGTTATTTGGTTGTTTGAAAATATTTGCGAAAGATTTAACGAAAGTTCTGATATTAATAAATTCTCATTTTCATTCTCGTTATGAATTGTTTCAAGTTCATTGGATTGTTTCAAGTTTGACGTATTATTTTTTAAACCTTCTGCATCAGCTAGCTGTTTTTGCGATAGATTTTCTTCGGCCGTAACCGTAACCTTGGATTCTTCTAAGATAGCTGACGTTTGTTGTGACAAATTAGAATTGCAATTTTCAGATACAGTTTCGTTAAATTGACTTCGTTTTTTCTTGGTAAACTGGCGGGCGTGACCAGCCACTTCCTTGAACTTGTCACTCAAAAGTTGATCTCCTGCTTCTGGTAATCTAAAAATATACATAATAGAAATAGGTAATAGAAAGAGATAATAGACAAAAAAAAGAAGATATACAGAAAAAAGTTTCTCTTTTATATAGAGTGTCTGAAAAAAAAAAAATATTTACACAGCTAAAATGTGAAGATTAGATCAATCTGAACAGAAAAATTATTTACCACAATGTGTAAAAAAATTTGTAAAAAATTTATGTACCTGTAATTTTTTCCTAGGAGCCGGTTACCTAGAGCCAAACAAATTTTTGACAACTTGAAGTATTCTTGTCGCCCGTTATTAATTTTTTGTCTCGCGCTTGAAACTTTTAAGCCCATGTTGTTAACGCGGTCGCGTTGTTGTTGTAATTTTTTCTCAGCCATTTTCAGTTGATCTTTAAGTTTCTTCACTTCTGCGGCTAAGCTGCTTTGTAAATCCTTTTCCATGTCCCATTGTCGTAAGTTACCTGACATTTCTGCTAAATGATCTAACACGTTATACCTGCATCACACGCATATACACACACATGTATATATATATAGATATATAGATATATATATACACACATGTACAGAATGTCCCATTTTAAATAATCCACTCAAATATCTCAGAAACGATAAATCGACAAATGTTTTGGACAAAAGTTTCTGAGATATTTGAGTAGATCTTTTAAAATGGGACACCCTGTATATATATACATGTATATGTACATATATGTATATACATGTATACATATATACATATATGAGTGGAGAAAAAAATACCGGAACCTATACCCTAAATATTTCTGAGTGATTCAAGATATGAAGAAATGAAATTTATAGAAATATACAATGAGATCATAGTCTCTATCACTTAATCACAAAAACATTTCTCCTCAACTCCGGGGGATAGAGAGGAGGGGAGTCGGAAAATTTTAAATGGGGCATGTGTGGCAGAGTTGTGGAGATATTTTTATCGTTAACACGTTCCGTTCCGTGCCGTTTTGTGCGCGACCTTTTATTCAGACCATTTGATATTTTGAATAAAAGGCAAATGTGTTATCATAAATTTTATTACATCATCGATTGACAAGTAATTATAGCTTGTAGAGTAAAACTTTCCCACTCGTATGTAGTTTTTCTAAAAATTAATTCTAGTTACCGTTTTGCGACTAATTTGTGCTCGGAATCTCTTAAATACTGTTGTTGTTCTGCTTCTGAAAGATTCGCCAATGTATTCAGTTCTGCTTCAGTTTCCGTATCCTTTTTAAGTACCTCGTCATCCGTGCTGTCACCTTTGTCGTTTATTTCAGACAAACGAGAAAAGTTATTAACGTTAGTTTCCAAAACTGGCAACGCTGCTGAACTATTGCGATTGATTTCTCGCTGGCACTCCGCCTCATATTGAAAATGCGACATCGTAGTCACTAACGTATTGTCAAGTTCTTGTTTTTTTTCATTCGAACTTACAGACAAGTCAGAAAGATTTACAGTAGATGCGTTAGCAAACACACTGTTGTTGCTGTTGTTCTCATTAGTTTTGTCCTTCTCGTTCAAACTTTCTGTACCAACATTATTTTCAATAGATTTTTCACTTTGACTGGTGCCTGGTGTATCGTGTAACAAGGATAATTTGTTATCGCTTAAAGTGACGACTCGTCCGATTTTATCAACTTTCAACATAACTTGAACATTTTTCTGATTTATTTTGTCTTTGTTTAAAACTCTCAAAGCAGGTCTATGATGTTGCTTGTCGGATTGTTTTTCGTTTTTCGAATTGTCAATTGGTTTGCTTTCAACAGCATTGTGATTTGGTGCAATTTCATTGGTAATTCGCACGCTGAAATTGGTCGGTTGTATTGTTTTCTTGATTTCTTTAGCTTGATATATGGAATTGGTGTGCTTAATAATATTCTCTGCGCGATGTGATTTTGTAGCAACTATGCGAGATGCATTTGACAACGTCACATTCTGCGATACCACGTCGATATTTTTCTTCTTGGTGGTATCCATCGGTTGGTTATCCATCTCTAATTCTTTCAATTTAATTTGATTTTGTTTAACATGCATAGTTGTTTTTTCATCCGCTGAAGATTTTATCGACAAATCCGTCGCATTAGCGTTTAGTTTTAATTTATTATTACTGTTATTATTATTATTATTATTATTTTTACTTATATTACTTGCTATTGTTCGCTGTAGCTTCAACTTTTCGCGTTCTAAAATTTGCTGCTTCAAACGACGATATTCTTCTTGTTGCGATATAGGAAGATGTCTCACAGCCTGTAAAAAAGAAAAAGGCAAAGGCATTTCTTGCGTATGTATCAGTCAGCTTGTTTCGATATAAATATTCTTTTGTACAAATGTGTGTGCTATTTTTTTTCTAAGCATTGTCAAATCAGAACCTTCCAACGCTCGCGCACACGGTTTGTGAGTTTGCGCCACCAAGAGGTCTGTTCCTTTTACCTGAACTTGCTACACTAGTTCGGAGTTTATCTGTTTTCTTCCAATGTGCAGAGTGAAAAAAAGATGAACTCTGAACTAGTGCGGTCAGTTCAGGTAAAAAGACCTAAGATCTCTGTGCGGTCACGTGATCAGTTGGAAGAATCTGTTGTAAATAATTAAATCAAATGTAATGAATAATACTGATGGCGTCTTACCAACGGCGTGTGCATGTTTGTCGAATTCTTATCCGCTTCTATTTGTATCGATACCGGAGACGCGTCTCGCTTTGCTACTTGCGGGGACAGAGGTGACGAACTTGCGGGCTTAGCGGCCGCGGCCGCTGATTGTTCCTGTTCCTTTCTCATGTCCCGCAAGAACTTCTGCACGCTTTTCTCGAAATCATCCTGCACCAGACATTCTCCTTTAGGCAAAACAGTTTTACGTTTTTCACTCTCAGACTCGCTGTCCGTGTCCGATCCCAAACTTATCACAAATCGTTGAGCATCGGATCCGTGCAATGTTTTAGGCCACTCGTTAGACTTAGCGCTGTTACGCACATTATCGAGCTTCCGTAAATTCAATTTTCTTTGTACTATCATATTCTGATACTTCTTCGCGTTATTTAGCACTTTTGTACTCGCAGGGGTAGGTGTTTTCTTTATCATCTTTTTCAACGGACCTTTCGTAATAACGCTGCTGCTCCTTTTCTGAAGCACTGAGGTAGATACATTATTAAGTTTCTTCTTATTAGTTTCCGACGTACTCAACGACACCGACGACAACGACGCGTTATTCGTCGTGCTGATCGCAGACGACACTACGGGACTTGTTAATTTCTGCATTGGCGCTTGAACGTTGTTTGTCGCGCCACAGACTGTTGTATTAATTGTTGGAGCTATTGAAATGACATTCGCGTTGTTAGTTGGTTTTGTTCTTTTCAGAGAAGCTAATAATATAGCTCGCAGCGCATTCTCGTCATTCTCGTCGACACTTGATTTTCTATCATTAACATCTGTCGTTGTTTCAACGTCAGACGTGTTACTTGTTGACGAACAATAAGATTGGATATTTTTTTCTCGCGTATCCTTCTTCTGTTCCTCTTCGTTCATCGGAAACGTATAGTTGTTGTTTTTCGCATCTTTGTTTTGTACTTCGATACCGCTGTAATTATCCGATAAATTTTTTTCAGTTTCAACGACACCTTCACGATTCTTCGACAATTCTTCGTTACGATTTTTTTCTTGCAATTTATTGTTATCATTATTCTCGTCTTTGTCGAATTCAACAGTTTGCGGTTCCAAATCAGACGCGTTTGTAATATTTACATTTTTATTTGCGTCGTTGTCTGAATTTTTTTTGTGTTTCTTATGTAACTGCGTAGTAGTGTCAATATTCTTACCAGTTAGTTCAATATTTTTTAAATTCTTTTTGACACGTTTTCGCACTTTACGTTCCGACGAAATCTCGGAATTATTCTCACTTGACACACGTGTCTTATCAACATTAGCAAGATATTCCAGCTTATTAGCTTCGCGCTTGTTTCTGATAGACGCCAAACTTTCGCTTCGATCCTCTGAAACATTTAACGACGTCTCGTCCATAGACGTGTCCGATGCAACAACAGGCGTCAGTAACACAGACGTGGGTTTTTTCGTAGGTTGCAGTTTCACAGATTTCACAGATACGACATTGTCTTTTTTCACGTCTGTGCTAACGGTTACAGATTTAACATTCTGAAAAATCTCTTGCGTTTCAGACGTTTTTGTCATTGACAACGAAAGTAACGGTTGTTTGTTTAATTTTAAATCTTGCACATGTACCGGCTTTCTATTGATTAACGTTGGTATCTTGTTTGAAGTTTTGACATCGTCCGGCATGTCTGATACTTTTTCCTCTTCGGCAACGATTTGGCACGACGTGGTCGGTTTTGGAATGTAGTCTTTGATCGGTACGCATTTGCTACCACCGGCAAGACTCAACTCAATACCTGTTTCCGTCTCTCTTGGAAAATTATAGATTGTCGATCCGTTTGACGATATAAGTTCGGTGTATCCCGCGGCAAACGTGGTCGAAGATTTCATAGAATGTCCGCTGAACGTATGCGTTTCGTAAGTATGCTTGTCGTTTCGAAATACCGAATCCGCGTTTGCGAACAGAACGGTGCTCGCGGGTGGTTGCATCATTTGATGCGTTTGCGGAGAGACGGAAATATTATCCGAAATTATCGAAGTGCGTGGTGGAAAATTTTTGTCTTCCGGAAACGCGCATGTTGTATCCGCGTGTGCGTTATCCGTGATCGAAAGATGGTGTGTCTCGTTTCCTCGGCAGCAAATACCATCTATCAAATCGCACATGTTATTATGAAAATGTTTCGGATTATTTATCAAATTGTTAATACCTGTGGGAATGATAACGCTATCGTTTCGTGACGACGAATAACAATAGTTATCCGGCGGTTTAGGATCGACAAACTCGTTGTAATACGACGAGATATCGGTTGATAGTAATACATCGTCGTTCTGCCTGGTGTCGTTGAAAATTGGACTCTTATTCGTCTCATTTACGTTGATAAACGAAACATCGGACGGCTCAATGCCCAACATTGCCGCATCAATAGGTACGATTTTATCAGTTGGAGAATACGGCAACCTCTCTTTTTCTCTCTCGACGTCCGTGTCCAATTCCATGTCTTCGGTGTGATTGTTATTCTGTGGAGGTGTACACGGAGGTGATGCGAACTGCAACAATTCGTTGCTGGGCGCGGGAACGTCTTCGAGAAGAAAACTCTGACTAAACGGACTCTCGCTGCGAGTTGTTCTTCTCGCTCTTATGCCACGCTGCACTCGATTCTGATGCTTCTTCATGATCGCAGATCGAAGCGCGATCATGCGCAATTGCAGAGCCTCTTCGTCTTGATCGTCATTTTTTGCGTCGATCGATTCCTTATCCATTTCCATATCCGCCAGATGATCTAACGGTCTGTTGAATTTCTTCTGCTTTGTCTCTAATGCCTTTTGTCGCAACAACGCTAGATCTTCATCGTCAGCTTCGTCACGATTGACGGACTCGGATTGACATTTTGATTTCATCTTCAAATGCGTTGTGTTGTTGCGGTCGTTGTCGGGCGTTCTTTTGAACATGTTTGTCAGTTTGTCCATCAGAGATGACGACTGATGGACTTTACCTCGATTAGCGTTGGACTCCGGCGAATGTGTAGAGTCAAGACGTTTCACTCTCTTCAACAATCGCGTTACGTCGTCGTGTTTGTTAACGTGAGAACGTATTTTTCGAGCAGGCGAATCTTGTCTCGACGGTTTTCTTGGTATTCTCGTGGGCGAACGATACAGCGGATTCCGTTTTGGCGATCTGAGTCTTCGCGGAGATTTCTTATGTATTGGAGAATAATCCTTCAATGGAGATCGAGTTTTTATCGGAGATCTGTGCTTACGAACTGGCAAAATCACTTTCAATCTGTTATTCTTATGCACCGGACTTACTTCTCTATAAAGCGTTAATTTATTAAAATCTTTCACATGCAAGTCAATAGAAGGAGATTGCGGAGAAATTAAATCATCAATAGTAAGATCTTTGTAATCCTTTTTCCTTTTTTTCTTTTTTATTCTTGCTTTCGATCGATTAGAGGTATCTGTAAGGCCTACAATTTCCAAATCACTGTCGCTGGAAATAGGTACAAGGTCGTCGTTCTTCTCTTGCGGAGCTGGCGCTGCGTGCTTTGTCACTGTACATCCCGCTTCTTTTACTCGCTGATTTTCCTTTCCCTTGACCGGATCTTATAAAATAAGATTAACTTCTACTTGACTATGATATTTATAAAGCAACGATAGCAATCTAAATCTTATTCCTCAACTCTCATTTAATCAGTATGTATATTAAAACTTATTTGACGTCAAGTCTTATAATAAAAAAATCTTAAATTATATAAATTATATAAATCTTAAATTATATATATTTATATATTACTCTCTTTCTCCATTTATATAAATTATTTTATTACTTCAAACAAACAAATAATAATTTATTACTTTAAATAAACTGCTAAAGTGTTAAGAAACGTATATTTTTTACCTTTTTTACTCTTGGAATGATATATCGTGCACCAAGAGGCACATTTGGGCCAGGACTTGCAATCAGAACACTTTCGTGTTCTGTTGACAACGTAGCCGCACGTTAAATGGCCCATTCCGCCTTCTTCGGAAGAACTAACGTCCTCCAACGAAATTTCACCTTCTTCCTTCTCATCATCCAAGACATCGATTGTCTCCATGCAACCGCTTGACAAATCACTCGCCATATCATTCGCACTCACTCTCGCAGTAATTATTAATTAACAAATAACAAAGTACGGTCTATGTGTACCAGACAACTTATAACTTTGACAAATCCAATTTGCGATATGACTCACTCTTCGAAGTTTGAGGTTAGGTCTCGCAAAAATGTGGAAATTTTTTGTTTCAAAAAGGTTTTTAAAAAAAGAACAATCTTATGAGATTAAATAAATGAAAAATTATATATATATATATATATATATATACACACACACACAAAATTCTGTTTAATCTTCACAAAATCTCCCCTCCCCTCCCCCCCTCGTCATTTGTTGCGTGAAAAAATTGTTTCGCTTTGACGGAAAAGATGTCCGAGCAAAATGACACGAAATGTGTGAGAGAAAGATAAAATACAAATCTCGACGCAAGAATCTTATTAATTTTGTATTGCTGAGTCACACAATTAATTACCGTGAAACATACGTACTTCGTGTTCACTAGAAAGAGAAACAACATTAATTAATTAATCTTAAAGCACTGTACGAACTGTATGTTCACCTAATTTGCACTAACGAACTAATCAACAATGTGATCGAAATTGCACACTCTCTCTTTAACTTTATATATAGTTGTATAATGGCCGTTTTAAGCGGAACAATTGAGTCGGTCGTCTTTGTCAACGCACTCGACGTTGTGATTAAACGGTTCTAAAAGAAATAACCAATCACGCGCATTCGGCAATTTTGTACAAACAGAAGCCATTGGTTACGTTTGGAAAACTCGACGGTTGAGAGATCATCACTTGTGATAGGACTATTCTTCAAAATCTGATGCGGTTCCAAAAGTATGACCCAATCAGAAGTGAGTATTTCTCAACCGTTGTGCAACCGTTGAGTTGTCTGAACGCACCCAATGACCAAATTGTGAACCAACCCTTTAAAGTTTTCACAGGCGCTGCCAGTAGCGCCAGTAGTGCCGGTGAATTTCGGGACGCAATTTGTGTTTTGAAAATGGCAAACCGTACGGTAAAAGATGCAAAGTCTATACGCGGAACAAATCCTCAATATTTGGTAGAGAAAATCATCAGATCGCGCATATACGATTCTAAATATTGGAAAGAAGAATGTTTTGCTCTGACGGCTGAACTTTTGGTCGACAAAGCGATGGAATTAAGGTTAGTAAAAAAAAATAAACTATAACCTCTATAGGCGCCTTTAGTTTACACCCCGATCGCTTGATATGTAATTAAGTATATATATTAAATTTGATTTGAGTGCAATAATGTGTGTGTGTAAACACAAGTCGTATTAAGCTGGTACGATACGCCTTCTTCACGCGTATCGTATCGAGCACATTTGTAATAACGACGTAAACACGTAAAATAATACATTTGAGACCACAAGCCGATTCAATATACGAATATAATACTCAATACGCGTATTTAAGCGATCGGTGTAAACTAGACCATTGAAAAAAAAATAAATTTTATTTGATTCGCGTATCAAACCACAGATGATTCTTTGTTTCATAATTTTTTTAATTACCACCGAGTTCGATAAGTGCGTTACATTGCGTCAGTACGTATCAAAGGCTGTTACAAAAAAATTATCTAAGTACAAAAACATCGGAAGCACAACTTGGATTAAGAAAATATTGATTGCTTATATTTTATATTAACTTTTCGAGACTGTAGACAAAGAACCTACGAGGACTGTAGACCTGTATGGTCTGTGAGGCTCACGCAAATTTAAGATCGATTATCTTCGCGAAGAATCAAATATTTGTTCAATTTCTTTCTCTCGAATCGGAAGTTTCAACGATTCTGCGTTCATAAAAAAAAACAGATTGAAAAAATCTCCAGTAGTTTTGAAGATGTGTTTTTAAAAAAAAAAACTTCTAGAAACGTCAATGCACAATTTTTGAGTGGGTCTGGAAAAGACCTAGTCTACGGGCGAAGGTTAAATATATACCATTATATTTCTATATCAAATAAAGTAGCAACACTTTTTAATTCATCCATTAAAACAATTTGTATCACATATTTGTAGTTAAATACATTTATTTATAGCAGCCTTTTTAAAGTGCATAACTATGCACTAATGCAGTATGGTACAATAAACTGCGGTATATTGCAAGTTATCAGATTTGCTATATGTGAGATATATTAACTAGAATTAAAGATTACTATATGCATAGTTTTTAGATTTTTGTTCTTACGATTCTTAGATACATAGGAGGAGTGTATGGTGGAAATGTAAAACCTACTCCATTTCTCTGTCTTATACTAAAAATGCTTCAAATACAGCCTGAAAAAGATATTATAATTGAGTTCATAAAGAACGAAGAGTTCAAATATGTTCGAGCTTTGGGTGCGCTGTATATGAGATTGACTGGCTCTTCCTTAGACTGTTACAAATATCTTGAACCATTATTCAATGATAACAGAAAACTTAGATCGCAAAACAAACAGGGTGTATTTGAACTTATACACATGGATGAGTTTATTGATAGTCTTTTAAGAGAAGAAAGAAGTTGCGATGTTATTTTGCCAAGAATTCAAAAACGTCATGTTTTAGAAGAAAATAATGAGCTAGGTATGTATATAAATTTTTATACGCGTGTATATATACATATATATAACTTTTTTTTAAATTAATTTTTAAATGTACTTTAATTGTATATTAGGTTACAAATATATATTATCTGTTTAATTATTTATCTTATTTTATTTATTAAATAGAAGCAAAGATATCCGCCTTAGAAGATGACATGGATGACGGTATAGAATCTTCGGAGGAAGAAGAAATTCTCTCGTCTAAAGAATCTCGAAAAAGAACAGATGATCACGAACGTGATAGAGATCGTCACAGAGACAAGAGACATTCTCGAACTGAAAAGAAATCTGATAAGGAAAAACAAAGATCGAGAAGTAGAGAAAGAGACAGAAGAGAACACAAGCGCAGCAAAACACCAAAATCTCATTCGTCATCTCACAAAGATAAAGACAGAGATCGAGATCGACACAGAAGAGATGACAGGGAAAGAGAAAGAGAACGAGATCGCCGAAGAGAACGCGACAGAGCTAGACATTAACAAACGTTTATATTATTAAACATCTTTGTCAATTGTTATTTATAAACGACTATATTGACATATTTTACGACTGTATGATGAATTAGTTACACACACATCAAATAACTATTATTGAAAGATGATTAAGTTTTCTGTGTGTGTGTGTATATATATATATAAAACCTAGGACGCGGTCAGTCTCACTGCAAATATTGTTTCATTCTATATCTTTATTCTACATTTAACGAGAAATAAAAATAGAATAATGCTTTGAAACATCCGCGATGAGCTTTGACCGCACCCTTAATCATCTTTCAATACTAATTATTTTGCTCACAAAATACATTTAATGCAAGTGTACGTATTGATTCACATATAAACGTGCAAATACATATATGTATAGAATTTATGTGAATATATACATGTATGTATTTCACAATTACATAAATACATATACATAAATAAATATTATATTTATACATATACATATATTTCTTTATGTGTATATATATATATGTATAAAATTAATATGAGACAGTCGAATTCTTATTTGCGTTTTCTTAAAAACGAGTCAGTGTAAGATATGCAAATACAGTTTTATATTATTATACAAAATTACAAATTTACAATTGCTTTATTCTTTATATAAATTTTTTTTTATTAATTAATAAAAAAAACACTATTATTACTGACTTTACTTTATTTCTGTTGTTCGAAGACTTACAAAATCTTTTCTTCAAAATCTTTTGTGTAAGATTTTTATACACGCGCGCGATTAGTTTAAAAGTGTTCTTTTGGGATATTTCTCTTCCTCTCCCTTTCTCTCTCCCTCTATCTCTCTCTCTCTCTCTCTCTCGCTCTCTCTTCTTTCTTCTCTTTCTCCTGTATATTTGGGCAATGAAAACAACATACTTAGCAATATTTAAAATGTAGGCGAATTCAGAATAAATAATCTCTCTTCTTCTTTTTTTATCCACTTCAACAACTTGCTCACTGCCTCAATAGCATCTGGTTTCGTAATTAAAGGCTCAAACGTTACGTATAATTCAAAACCAGAAGCCACCTGGAAAAAAATAGTGTTTTTCAAATGAAAAAAAAAAAAAAAAAAACTACTTTATCGAAATAAGCTTTATCTTACCCATGCCAACATTGTTTCTTTGTCCAATTGCTGAAATATAAGTTTCAAAGGCCGACTAGGAGAATGCAATCTGTGATGCAAACATTGATAAAGACCTAATAATCTAAAAAAAAAAAATATTGTAAATAAATTACATAATAGTTAGATAAGTTATTGAATACTTTGTATATTTATACCGTTCTATTTCTTCTTCTGTTGTGTAAGGTGGCTGAAGTCCTGGGTTCCAAAATTGGGCAGTGCTTTTACATTTGTACAAGACATGCCGCATCTCGGGTAAACCAATGTCAGCAGTCGTTACCGTCGGTTTGTTCATAGATTCGTTTATCGCTTCTAGACAATTTGTTCGTCTCAATCTCTCTACTATTTTCTAACAAACATAAATTTATAGTTTACACACTCTTGTCTCTTCTTTCTCTTAAGTGGATCTTTATTTCTGAAAATGGTTTTCAGGTTTGAACACCGCATTAGTGTCATCTCTATACCGACGATTTGAGAGATACTTCAGCTTTTACTTCATTAGGATTTTAAGAGTAGTCTGATACTGAAATGGTTTTGGCCTGAGATGTTTCTTTTTTATAGCCGTAAATGTTCACAAAACGATATATAGAAATAACACTAATGCGGTTCAAATTCAAAAATCATCTTCAATCACTTCTTATACCGGATCGCGAAAGCATCAAATAAATAAATGAAGTTTTATTATTCGATAAATTTTACTTAAACTTACTTGTTTGGCTTCTGACAGCACAAAAAACACATCCCTATCAACAGTGAGCAATAGCAAACAAGCTTGACAATCTTCTGCTAAATATGAAACATGGCCGTGCATATATCCATTGGAATCAAATTTTGGTAGACATATCGGTGTCCAACTTTCAGCAGTTTTGAGCGACTCAGAACTGTCTACTAGATTTTGTATTATATGCAGATCCATTGGATGTAGAAAAAATTTGTTCATTCTAACTAGTGTTACCAATTGATTGTTAGCTAGAAGTATTGCAAATACTAAATTCTGAAAGATATGTTTGGTGTATATTAAGTAGTATCAGAGTTTCTGTCATATTATATAAATTAAAAATTGCTTTGTACCTTGATTTTAGCACAAGTTTGAATGATAGTTTGTGTAATAGAGCTTCTCATAGAAGAAAGTAAAGGTAAACATTTAATAGCTCCTAGAAAAAAAGCTGGTTCTCTATCCATAAAGTTCAATAAATGATCTATCAGTCTTTCGCTACCACTTAGTAACCTTCGTAAATCAAAGTTTCTTCTCTGATCATATACTCTGTTTAGTTGAGACTGTGTTAATACAGAGACTATTTGATTATATACATACCTACAAACAAGCAAAAATATACAAAAAACATCGCATATATTGTCAAAAAAAAAAAAAAACATTACCAAAATAAAGTGTCTAATACGTACGTTAACTGTAAAGTAAGTTGAGATACACTTTCCAAAGTTTTAGATACTGCTACTAAAATCAAGGGACCTTTCACAACAAAAACAAAATTTGTGTCACCTGCATGTACCGATCTAATCATATCACTACCAGCCTGTACAAAAGATACAAGAGCTTGCATCACTCCCATAACTGTGACTAGTTTGTCTTCTGAACTATATCTAGAATAAATTGGTTTTCCTGCTTGGCTCAATATAAAAACATGTTTTTTTTGAGCTAACCATTTTTTACAATGTAGCGGATCCCCGTCTATATTACTTTGACCTAAACAATGTGTAACACTGTCCTAAAATAATAGATTAATAATATTACTTATGTTGTGGAAACATATATAATTGAATATAAATTTTAAAAATTACAAAAAACCTACCATTTCCGCATCACTGAGGGAAAGAGGTTTTTTGGATTCTTTCGGACTGGTAGCGGTGAGCGTAGCAATGTTGTGTTCATCATCGTCTTGGATCTTGGATATAGTGTTGGTAGTGCTCTTCGTAATTTGTCTGTCGCTATCGATGCTACTACTCATTTCTTGCTCATAATCATCAAAACTGTCAGTAGTAACAAGCATCGTTTCTGAAGAAGCTCCGGGCTCAATTCCAGGTTCAGCTATACCATCATCAATTGACTCGACAACAATCTGTTCTTTCGCAGCCATATCTATGGACCAAGAAACTTATCATCGGTCAATCGCTCACTCGCCAATTTTTGTTACAGACATTACGGTGTGACATTTGATAACAGCGAACCATCAGGTTTGGTTTGGTGCCTCCTGTGGTCCGTGGCTCCTTGAACCTTTTAAGGGCCGTTTACAACGAAAGTAGGCAGTATAAAAAGTAAAGGTCATTCTACAATGGTTGCGTTCGAGCAGCACGCTATCAGCGCTATTGCGTTATTCTATCTTTGTTTTACATCCTAACAAGCAACAAAGGCAGCTTTCCAGCTACGCACACAGGCGACACAATGTCCATTAGTGTGAGAAAGAGCATATCAGTGTGTCTCGCTCACACTAGTGGACACAGAGGCGTATTTAACGTCGGTGCAACCGGTGCGATGCACCGACGGGCCCCGGGATCTGCGGACCCTCGGTGCATGATAAACATTTATAAATTTATAATATTCATAACATTACCTATCGGAGTTGCGAGTGCCGAAAGATCATTTAGTGTATTAAGGAGACTTAAAAGTTATTTAAGAAGTAGCATGACACAGGAAAGAACATCTGATCTAACTTTATTATCAATTGAAAAAAATGTTTTGATTAATTTAAATTTGGAAGATGTTGCAAAGAAATTTATGTCGGTTAAAGTTCGAAGAGGTGTTCGTTTCTAAATTTGCATACAAATAAAAAATCATTAAAAACTTTTGTCCAATTGCCTTAAATAAATAATAATAACAATAATAATAATAATGATAATAATAAT